CYTTTTTTTTTTCTTCTCCTTTTTGTTTTGTTTTTGCTTGAATATTTCAATTTCTGGTGTTTCTTTATACCAATAAAGTGGCCAATCTACATCACATTGCAATGATTTTTAAGAGGTTAGAGGATACCAAATTAAACAATCTAGATGTTACTAACGATCCGCAGCGTGGTTTGTCGGCAGTATCTATCTAATTATTCAGCACCAACATTTAACTAATTAAAGATTCACTTTGATATTAGGATAAATTCATCTCGGCTTTAATTTTCTCTAATCTTTTCTCATTAGAGGGATTGTGGCTTCCATAGCGGGTCATTAAGATCATGTCCAATTTTACAGAAAAAAAATCAAAAAGTTAACGAAGAATAACGAATTGGTTTTCGTCGGGAACTATCAAAGAACTGCTTAAGTATAATTATTTACAAACTGTCGTTCGTTTGTTTGCTTCTGATGCTCTCATGCTAGAGCTTTGTCCAATTGCAAAGCTTTGTTTAGCGTCACCTCAGTGAGTTAACAAAAGTTTTTATTGGTTAAAAAAAAAGCATATATGGAGTTATTTGTGGGCGGAGTGATTTGCATATGTTAAAGACTTAGTTAGTGACCCACAAGAGTATAAAAGAATACGAACCAGGCTATGATCCTACACTTCAAACAAGACGCCGTATAACTCGAACCTCGTCAAGCATAATAGACCTGCAGCTTACAGATTACTTGAGCAGTGAAGATGCACAAGATTTTCGCTTTGTTGTTTTTAGCCATTGCTAGCACTCAAGGTATGTTTTTGTTTTGTTTGACAAGTTTCTTAAAATTTGCTTGACTTTTTTGCCCCATAATGTTGAGAAGATCTCAATCACAAACCAAAAAAAAAACATTCGGTTTTCTCCAGTTAGTCATTATAGATCTAAAGTGTTCTATCGTCTGTCGATTAAAAAAGAATTGGAATGGAAAATATGAAGAATATCATACCTATTCGTTTCCAAGGTAGTTGCGATTTATATGCGACAAATGCCTAAATATTTCTGCATTAAGAAGGCTCACTGTTTGACTAGGATAGATTAGACTGTCTCTAAAAGGGATTTAAGCTTTAAATTCCTGGCGTTTTAACTTCGAAACTTTGGAATGTTTTATCAATTTTTAATATAGTAAGGACTCGACTGACATTTAATCACCTAATTTTGCGGAGGGAGGAAAACCGGAAAATGCTCTAAGAACAAGAGAGAGAACCAACAAACAACTCTACTTACAAATGACACCGCTCACAGCAGGACTCGAACCCGGGTGGCATTGCCATTGAGCTTCCTCTCTCACCGCTTCGCCACCCGTGCTTCTCACTAAGAATTTCGCATACTAAATGGCTTAGATCTAGTTTCTTCCCTAATGCAAATTTGCATTACATGTTTGGTATGCAATCACTCCTAGTGCATTTAGTTGAGAGCTTGTGTTTGGTTGTTAGGGTAAATAATTTGCATCCAGTTTGTATACAGATAAACAAATACAAAGCAATTTTTTTTTTCATTTTTCTTTCTTTCTTTCTTGTAATATTCAGAGAGATGTTGTTTTCACTTATCATAAAAGAACAATTAATACATGGGCAATGATTTTATCCCAAAATAATATCGTATGTCATTAAAAAAAAACAGTTTCTGATCTAGATGGTACGCGTAGAAAGCCACTAACCATAGCCTAATATATGCTACTACGCTCTCGATGTTTCTGTCAAAACGATCACGAAGCGAAGCGAACGCATAGCCTCATAGAGCCATAGCCTCCTACGATAGTTAAATATGCTCCTAAGCAGACGCTCTCGTCACGCAAACAACGAAGCGAAGCGAAGAATTTTGCTGTGGCTCGTTCTCAAGTCCACGACGCGAAGCGAAAGACGTTTGCAGCGACTGGCTTTCAAGTGTTTTGTTTTGATGCAATCACTTGAGTATGACCACTTGACACGCCTTTCTCTCATTGGARATCAAGCATACATCAATTTAGTAGTGCTTCATACGAAGAGGAAAAAGATTTTATTGGCAAAAAACTATGGAATTAGTGTGAAAAAATTAGAAGCGCTACATACAAAGAGTAAAAAAATTTTATAAGTAGAAAAAAATGGATCGAGAGAAGAAAAAATTATTTTTCCTCTATGTATTTAAATCACTCTTAGTGGTTTCACGGTTTTGAATAAAATGCATGTTCTAGATCTCTTGTAATGGTTCAAAGATTCTCAAAATATTAAAAATAAATCGAAGTATAAAATGAAACAGGGCCCCTCTAAATGGGATATCCTGCTTAAAACAAAGTATTTATCTACCTATCAGTGAAAAAAAAGAATAGAAAGGAAGGAAGGAAGGAAGGAAGGAAGGAAG